GTTCATTCATAGTCATATTACTTACGGTGTAGTCTTATTGGGCAACACTTATGCTTGTCATTTATCATCAATACAGCACATTCAAAATCAGTCAATCCACATTGTCACTTCTAGTTCTTCGCAATCGAACGCCTACACATTACTACGCTCTTACAATACCTTGCCAGTAAATTTTTTGTTCCGGTTAAATCTTGTGACCTTATTCCACAAACTCGATCGCCTGTTTGCGTCTTCTGGTTTTTTTTTACCTGTGGTCGCTATTGGTAGATGTCGTATATTGTAGAATTTTCTGTTGCTCGTTATAAATTTACCGTCGATTTTGTTTCGACAACCCGAGGTCCCTGTAAAGTCTGCTGGCTCTGGGACCCTCGTCTGTATATCCTAGATTTTGTACCTTGTTTTTGAAAACAATAAAACTTGAAACTTGAACTTGAAAAAAAAATAATGCGCAAGATAGAAGACATTACGAAAATTTCCAAACGTAAAGATGGCTTCTCGTCTTCTTCAAATGAGCTCACGCGCTCACTGGCGCAAAGCTTGTCGTTTCTTCTCTCAGGCTGAACCGCGGGAAATTCAACAGCACTGAACACCACTGCGGGTGGCGTTCAGCATCCACGCAGGCGCTCAACCACATTGTGGTATAGACTAAATTCACTGTAACGCCCTCAATTCTCTACAGCACCGGAACGTCTTCAGGCCTCTCTGCATGATCGCATTATATATATAAGGGACTGTGAGATGAACTTTTCTTCAATGTACCAACGTTTCTTTTGTGTTTTTTACCTGAACATTGTTGCGGACGCGTGGAAATTGTTTATGACGTGAGAAGAATTTTTTTAAAAGGACATTTTTATGCGTGAATTTTACAATACTCTACCGTTATTTACAAGTTCATGGCGCAAATTTTTACGTGAGGGAATATGAGTAGCCGGAGCCATGTATAGCCGCCAACTTCTCCTACAACACACTTAATACAAAAAAAAATGGCAGCATATCCACGGAGTGAATGATGGAAAGTTGAGCGAAGCATCCGTCCATCCATTCGTTCTTGCTTCCGACCGTCCATGCGTGCGTCTGTGTGGCCGCCCGTGCGTCCCTCCGCCCGTCCGTGCGTGCGTCTTTTCGTGCGTCCGCACGTCCATCTGTACGTCCGTCCCTGCGTTCGTCCATGCATCCGCTCATGCGTCCGTCCGTGCGTCCATTCTTCCGTGCAGCCATCCGTGCGTCCATCCATGCAACTGTCTGTGTGTCCGTTCGTCCACCTATTCAACACTCCAAGTACCACCATCTCGCATCTTTTCATCATATATTCCTCATATAGAAGCACCGCCATCCAGCGGACATTCCAAGGACTGAATGAGAGGAGGCACACGCACAATTTCTTACAACTTGCGCTTCGTGTCTACTTCCCACATTTAACCACCTCGAGTTCATGGTATATACTATAGTTCACTGTATTCATGGCACTGCGGCCCAACGCTCGCTAAACCTTTCTAAAACCAAGGAGGTTACGCCCAGCGAGTATAAGGTAGCAACCCTTTCTTGTCAGATAGTGCTCAATGTACATGCCAATGGCTGCTAAGGCGGAATTAGAGACAGGAGAATTCGGCTTTTAGTTAACGCGCACGCTGCGAATTTTTTTATTGTTCAACAATGCACAGAAGAAATATCCCACCGGCACCACCTTGGAGGTCAAACTGTAAGACTGGTTACACACTACTACTACGACTACGAGGGACGAACGGGTGCCGCGATAAGGAGCTTCGCCCCTAATAACTAACAAGCCCAGCTGCATGAGCTGTACAGATAACGCTAACGTCACATCACTAGCTTCGTGTTGTACCGTTCAAATACTCCGACGGCCAGGTTTTCGTGACGTCAACCCGAGACATCTCTACAAAGCACAGTGGTGCGGATGTTCCGTATACGTCCGGCACACTGGTCATGCTGGCTGGCTTCGCGGTTGCCGATGTTGCAAGTTGCGTCCATGTCGCTGAACTTGCACAAGCACCGGCAACTTCTCCGAAGGCCGGATTCGATGTTCTCGCGTGTAGTTGCGTTACCTGCGACGTGATGAACTTTGCACAATTACCTCCCACGGAATCCTAAAACATCCTTCTCGTGATCACCTTTGTGCTTCGAGGCGTGACGACGTTCGGGGAATCGAGCGAGTCTTCAGTTGCGCCCCTTTGCCTCCTACACCGAAGCTGCTTCGAAACCTTCATCAGCGTGACGCCTCCCACTGATTCCATCAGCAACTATTCGATTACTTGTTCTACCATAATGAATGCTACATTTTTTCATACGCAGTAAAAAAAAGAAAAGAGATTCAGAAGGTCTCACGTACACGTCAACTGTTATATTCGTTCGAAGGCAAACATTTGACTGAAATCAAGCTTGTTGAAGATGGTTTTCAACTGGACACTATGAACCGGGTGTCTCAAACGCGCAGCCCGCAGACCTTTCGCTAGCGGCCAACCACCCGCGCATGACTGTCTTCAAGCCTAGATTTTTTTCGTCTTAATGATATTGGTGAGCTACACATGTATAACTGGCCTCGAGCATTTGTTCTTAAAATTAGGATGTTATAGGTAGCCGGCGGATCCAACCTTGCATAGTTTGCAGGCAATTGTCCCGCCCGGTTTCCTCTTTGCGAATTGGAGCTTACACCAACGAAGAAGGCTCCCAAAGACAATCAGCATATTTTACGAGAAGCTCTCAATAAGCATTTTCACTCGTTATGGCTGACGCCTCACCAGCCATGTGTGACAAAAGTGCTATCAAGAGAAGAGGCATGCCTGCTTCATCGCACCCGAACGGGATCAGCGCGTACACCAGCATGGCTTCACAAGATCAGACTCTCCGCGACGCCCTTGTGCCCGAATGCAAAGGAAATTGTGATATAGCACACTATTACTTAAGTGTCGTGAGCTTAAGAAGGAACGGCAAGGTTTACTTGAGAAACTGCAACGTTTAGGCTCGCAATGTGACAGCATGACTGATATTGCGTTTTCACGTGATCACTCGATCTTCGGGAAACAGGTATCGCGACTTCTTTTGAATTTTTTTTAGGAATGCTAACGACCTCGCATGTGAGTGGTGATAAGTGACAATTATGTTTGGGGTATAGTGCAGCGAGATAGAGTACCGGCACCATACTGCATGTGGAATACAGCACAAAGGCCACCGGCTTATGCAGCATTTTTTCATTTTTCCTCTTGAGGCACACCATATAGTCACTATATATGTATTTAAACACAACCGAAAAACAAAACTTCTATATTCAGAATCGGCTTTCAGATTTAAGTCATTCTGTAGGTCGGCATCGACATGTTGCTGGAATCTTGGCGACAAATTCTCTACACATATCCCCGTATATTATATAAGGGGAGAGGGGAGTGCCGTCTTTCAAACGGCAATGTTTCACGGCAGTCACCTCCCCCCCCCCCCGCACCGCTCGTTCTTACGTTCTTCACTGTCCCGGTCATACTAATGTAAGTATGAGAGCCTCATGTAAACTATCACAAACGCGGTACATTTAGTATTCTACAAAAAAAAAATTGAGTATGTTACTCGTCTGGTGAGTCCTGATTTGTCCCGTATCAGCTCCTTTATAGAGACACGTTAATTTTTTTTGAACCTGAAGGCTCTCCGACGAGGATAAAATGGCCTCCTGAGAGTTTATAGTACGCTTTTTTTTTTCTTGCAGTGTAACCGTATAGTTCCGTTTCGTTTTTCTTATTTTTTAATGTATGGTTTTATTAAGCAACAAGAAAAATGTATGTGAAGAAACGTAGCCATTCAGGCTGTTTTTTTTTTTATCCGGCTCATGACTCTAAGGAGATAATCTTGTTTTTCTTTTTCTCTGTGGACGGCGTTGCGGAGGTAGTCCATATAAGAGGGCGAAAACTTTATCAATGATTGTTTCATTCTCTAATGCCAGTGGCCTGAATGTGTTAGAACCAGGAGTAGAATCTTTGCGTCTTGGCCTTATAACCAGACTTTTTCATTGTCCATTTTCGTCCTTTTTTTTCGTGCACTGTTAATTAAAGTAGGACGGACGGAGTGAGAAGCGACAAAGACGCTTTCAAACTTCACGTGGCTTTCGTAATGTAAAACTGGCTTGCACGCAGACACTGATAACAGGGCCTGTGCGAGCAGTCACTTACTGAGTCATTACATATTTTCCTCGCTGAATTTACGAGAGTACAGCTATATTAGAGAACATGGACATTACCTCTGCTCCTCTGCACAGATACGGCGCTACTTAGAAAGGCTCTGTGCGACAAGTAAAACGGACGCGGAGCATCTGAACGGGTGAATAGCGCCCTGAGTTCGTAAAACTACTTTTCAATTATATCTTCTAACAACACCCGTGAATATCAGAAAGTGTGCGCCTCTAAAATGTCTATCAATCAATTTCATTGCTTTATCCGTATCGTGTTCGTTCCCCACTCAAACTGACTCAGGGGACACTCGCACCTACTCAGTTGTATACATTAATAGTTTCTTTTAGAAGCTCCTCCTCGAAAGCGTCATAGCCGAGGCCGAAGCTTTGCGAAAACCACTTAGCGATCGGACGCAAGACGAGCAAGGCAGAGCCACGTGGTACAAGGCACGCGACGACACGGAAGCAGCCGTCCCCCGTATTTATAGCGACCGCGTCAGCTCTAGCGCGCATCGCCGTGAAGGTCTCTACCTGTCAGACCATCCGCATAGCGCAGCAAGAAAGAAAAAAAAAGGATCCTGTATGACTCGAGTAGCGCTGCTTCACGATTAAGAAAACGAAACGAGCAAAGAGAAAAAGAAGCCTCATTTGCGTAAGTTCGCGAACCGTGCCGGCACCAAGGGCGGCTGGCAAAGCCACCCACACGGCCGGGTTATTGCAACAGAGGACCAGAAGCCTTCTCGCTTAACCCCGGCCACCCTCTTCTCGTCACTTAATAGGCTCCGAATGCTGGTGTCGATCACGGCGGCGCGGGGAAGACGCTCACACCTGGCTGGCGGCCTCTCTCTCTCGACCTGACACCAAAGACGACCGACCGAGGACGACTGCGGCGAAACGCGAACGTCCGCAGGGAGGACCCGATCGACTGTGCACCTTACGCCTGGAAGACGCCCGAGAAGACACCGTCGATAGACCGAAGCACCAGCGCCAATACGCATCGGTGGAACACTCATGGAGACGAGGATCGTTAGTGCCGTCGTCTGCTGCATTGTAGCGTCCGGCGCCTCGCTTGGAGTCCTGTGCGACGAGCCCAAGTGCGAAGACACGACGCGCCGACACGCCATCGTGGCCGAGTACACGTGCTCCGGCTTCACCAGCCCGGATGACTTCGCGAAGCACTTCAACAAATCCACAGGGTCCAGCAACGATCTATGGTTCGTACTCAAGGACAGCAAGTTGGATTACATTCCCGCAGGTACGAATATCGCGTGTTCCGTTGTTTCTCTTTCGCTTTTCTAGCCCAAATGGGCCAAATTTAAGATTACGCCTCACTGCTTAACAACGAAAAAACAGAGAGAAGTGACTCGAAGGACACCCATGCAAGAACACCTTCCAAGATACTTCTCACTTGCTAGTACATCCTACAGGTCGAAAGCGTCTAGCAGGCGATCGGAGACCCCAAAATGCTTTCCTTTGGATGCTCTTTGAAAACAATGGCCGTTCACGGCGCGACTCTTTGTACATGGGACAACCACAGCATTGGGGAAAATTATGGTAATGATGCTCGAGTAAGGCGGCAGCTCACTAGCTCTTATGAATGGACGTTCTATTGCTATAATTAGACCTAGATATGACAAATCATGTAGGAAAAAATATGGGCTGTGATGAAGAAGACATCCTCCACCCATCCACATGCGTCATGTACATGAAAGACATACGCATGTCATACTAGATGAATCAGTGGACGTCGGGGGAAAACAAAGCGCACATGTGAATTTGAACTACCGGCTAACACCACTAGATGACCATCTGGTTAGTCGCGAACATAGGTCGGCAAACTCCCTTGTGAATAGACTCACTCAGTGCATATCCGGCCGTGAGTCACAGTCTGAGTGAGTACAGGTGAGTAATGTATTGGTGAGCTTAAGTCCGAATTAATACGGTCGCGCGAAATTTTAGTGAATCTGAGTCTGTGTGAGCCTGGCTGAAAAAATTTTTAGTGACTCGGAGTCTGTCGCGTTAGAAAAAAAAAGCTTGATGGATCTCAACCCGAGTGGGCCCTATGCGAGCACGAAATATATTTTTTGAGTGTGTCTGAGAGAGCTCCGCCTTTTTTGCCAACCTAGGTCGTGAACATAAAAAAAAAACAGCACAATACATGGATGACGCCCGTTTCTAGAACGACATGCTTTTTTGAGGGGGAAAAACAAAGAGAGAGAGGGGGAGATTTTAAGCGGACATTACATATTTGTAAAACATAACTCCCTCTTTCGGAAAATTTCTGAGCATATACTGAGAATGCAGCCAGCTGCGTGTGACCTAACATAACCTAACCTATAGCTATTGTTATTTTTTTTATTTCAGAATACAAGTACAAAACTAGCCCCACGGTGCATTTCCGTTTAGTCAGACGCTGTGACTTCGGTGAAATAAGTTGCGAAGTATAACTACAATTAACAACACTAATAAACGCTCGGACTATCACATGTGCTTTAGAAAGAAAGCTCATTCGTTAGCATGGACCACCTTGTGTCCAACAAAATGATTGATTTGTGGGGTTTGACGTACCAAAACCACCATATGATAATGAGAGACGCCGTAGTGGACGGCTCCGGAAATTTTCACCACCTGGGGTTCTTTAACATGCACTTGTGTCCTACAAAAAATGAATAGGTAAGATCCACAGTTAATTTTGTTCTGTATTAGCTTTCTACCGGGGCGACTGCTGCGGCGCTAATCGAACCTGAAGATCACGTTCTCGGCAGTGAAGCACCATGTCCCTGACGAATTCCTGTGTATGCACTTTGCCTGCCTTTGAAACTTAACGCAACTACTTTTCATTTAAACCGCACCGGAACGTTTACTCATGCACCCCAGTAAGTATAAGTTGTTTGTAACTGTCATGTCGCAATCATGCGTACTTCTTATAGATAGCGTATGACTTCCAAAAAAAAACAAGATAAGAAAATCATACTTATTCTTGAAAGATCCCTTTCGGGGTGTCACGTAAAGGTAACAACAGAACTGTAAGTTATACAGTAGGTATTTAAAAAGAAAAAGGGCAACACAAAGAATATATTTCGACTACAAGCATAGCCAGGGACTTAAGATATATAGGCCAGACTTAATCCCCCCGCCCCAGTAAAATACTGGCTACGCCCCCCACTGGAGCAGATATCAAACGTGTTCGTACAAACGATCAAGCAGGTACACTTAATCCTCCCGCAGGATTCTTGGGAGAACACCAGGCATCAATGCTGGAATTCAACAACGTCACCCTCGGGTCGTTCCTGGAGCCCGACTCGAACCGCAGCCTGTTCTCCGGCCTGGAG